ATCTGGGGCGCAGGTTTGGGGCAGCCATCAATAGTGCGGGGAGCGACTTGCCTGCCCCAGCGGGGCCCACATCCCACCATTACCACCACTGGCATCATCACACTGGGCTCAAGGCCACCCACCAGGCCGAGAGCCTGGACGTGGGAGTGGAATTGGGAATACCACTCCCACGAGTAGTAGGGCTGGAACTCAGGGAGAGGTGGGACTGGGAGCAGCCCCCTGGTCTCACACAGGGCAGAGCCCCACCCCCCATCTCCATAGAGAGGGCAGTGATCCTACGGGCCTGGGGCTTCTCTGACCCCCATCCCCTCTCCTCTTCTTAAATTCTTTTGTTTCCATGATAATTTTTTGGAAGGATGGGGAGGGGGGAGAGAGAGGGGAAAGCTCTGTTTCAAATTTTGCCTTAGGCCCCCCAAATCCACTGTACAGAGTTGCATAAAACATTTTTGAAGAATTTAACCATGGATATAATGCAAATTATTTTTGATAAATATAGAATAATTCTTTGCTAAGGAACATAAATCTTGTTCAATAAAACATTATGGGTCATATTTTGGCTTGGGAAACGCACGTGTATGTGGGAACCACATGTGCGTATTCCAACACACAATTGACCTACATGATTACATTAGAAAGAACAAAGAGAGTCAAAATTATGACCCAGTCCTATAACACTTTTGTTCATTTAAGTATATAATGTGAACATGTGAGTAAGAGCTACATGATCGGGACCTTTTTATAATATCTTGAGACTATCTGCGTGCTTCAATATTTTAAAATCCATGGATAAATTAGCATCTCATGACTTCTGTGTACATCGTTTCTTGTTTCATTAGTATGAATTTTAGAGAACAGTCATATTAGCTCTTGAATCTGAGGTCGGACTCTGCTCCTATTGAAGTCAATGGCAAAATTGCAGTGGAGCAGGATTGGGTCTGTAATTAAGTTAATAGGGTTGAGTGCTATTACATTGTTGAATTGGCACTCAATGCCATTAACGTCAACCAACCCAATAAATAATTAAATAAATAAAAACCTTCAGCAGTGACTAATGTACAGCAGTATTAAATGTTGGTTTTAGAATACTTTATGAGGGAGTGATAAAGTAATTGCAAAATTAATCATAAGGGAAAATATTGGAATTTGAAATGTAGTCAGAGGAATCATTACAGTTCATTAGTTTATGTGTAAATACTCATGTTTTCCAGTGGAATTATAAAATACAATTGAAGTGAAATGGCTGTTTTTATTGAAGGCATTTTGCCATTATCATCAGATGGAATTTAATTTGTTTACAGACTCTGTATTGAGCTGATCCACAAGGAAAACCATTAACAGACAAGGGGTTTTAGTTCTCTGTTTGTATAACTGCAGTTTTCATTAAGATGATACAAATGTTCAAGGAAGACACTGATAGAGCTAATAGTTTGCTGGTGCTTTAATGATTTACCAAAAGCATAATGTCAAAGCTTTTGACATAAGTGGCAATTATATAAGGTTGACTAAAAATCATCTGCCAAATTTAGACCGTATGCACTTCTCACATGGATACAGGCAGGGAGCGCATATGAATGTTGCTTGCAAAGCACTGTTGTTTTGAACACATATTTAGATGAGCCATGGTCTTGTGTACAATCCCTCCCTCATTCAGGTTATTCATGATAAGGGCACCAGTAATATGCACAAGACGGAGCGTGGCCAAAACAGGAGATATGTTTGCTAAAACAAGCAGACCATGCCTCCTTGGAATGCCCAATCTGCAGAAGTTCTGTGGCTCATGAACTCTGCAGTAATCAAAATATTACAGCTCATCCTGGTTGTCTTTTTTTGCTTAAGTGCAACCTTAGGCCTGAATATTGGCCTGGGAAACTACATATGAATTTGGAATCACTGCATACTCAAAACTCCCAGTGACTGAGAGAAGATTGGTGGTAAATAACTGAATTTTGAGTAATTGGTGTTTGGATTGGTTTGTAATAATTCTGATCCTACCAATTATCTGTCTATTATTATTTTTATTACTATTAGTATTATTTTATTATTATTGTTCCTAATTATATGTATAATGGTAATGCCCAAAAGCTTCATTCAGGATGGACTGGGGTCTCATGCAGAATGCTGTACAAAAACATACAAAGACATGGTCCTTGCCTTGAAACACAATCTAATTGAAAGACAAAATACCACACTAGGAAAGAAAGGGGGATGGAAGATGAGAATAATTGTAATAAGATCATGTTGCTACTTAAGCTGGCTTGTATGTAGCTTGAAAGTTCCAAATAATGTAAATATTTTAAAAATATGTACAACTAACTAATTATCATCAAATCTCTATCGCTGTTGAGTATTTATTTTCAATGACTAATAACTTTTAAAAGACCTTGACGTTCCAACCTGTACAGCACAGCACATAAATGTATAGGATATAAGCCTGTATGTATATAAGTATCCCCTCTTCTAGGAGTATCAATATCTAGTATCTGATTTTGATTTCAGTTATCTACTACATTTTATATTTTACTCAAATCTCTGTGTCATTCGGGTCTGATCCAACTCCCACTGAAGGCCCACTGTGTATCCCACTGACTTCAGTAAGAATTGGATCAGAGTCTTAAAGAATAAATACATAACTTCTGGTAAAGATATGTTTTCATGATATTTGATAGAAAAGGTGTACTGTTTCACATTATGTACTTTAGAAAGTTGATACATTTCCTCATTGGAAAGCCAAAAATTATTTAATGACTTGAATAAATATGATTGCCAGTGTACATAATGTACCAAGATAATTATTGGTCAGTATTCTTTTGATCCAGTAATTCCAGTGCTACAGAATAATGTAAATATAACCTGTGCATTGTATTTTACATGACATAAGTCAAAGGATGAACATTCTGGAAATGACTTCAATTGCCAGTTGACCAGATTGATTCTATTTTTTGTTACTGTAGCACAACATGGTGATGCATTTACACATTTCACCTGTATTGCAAGTGTTCTGACTCATTTAAATAAATGTACATTAAAATTAATATGTTCAACAGTGAATTTTAACAGTATTATACTGCATTCGGTTATACTAATGCTAAAATATAGCATTGTAATCACCAGTATTGCTGTAATGGTACTTCAGGAAAACAAACTATAGTGGATTTTATATGAAGTTGTGGGGATATGTGGTGGGGATCTTCTTTCTTTAAAGGCCTGATGCAAAGCATGTTTAACTTAATGGAATGACTCTCATTGACTTCACCATGGGTTTTAGATCAGCTCTAATTGTGTAGTTATTTGTATATTAGTTACATTTCTGTTTTGCAAGCACAGTAATTTGTGGTGCTGCTGTTGCTGTAAATAGTTAATGTTGTCTATGGAGTGGTTAGCTCTTGACTTCATTTCCCATTAAGGTTGCTTTACCAAAGATAAATAGTTATAAGCCAGTAATTAACCATGGATTTTAGAAAAGTCTGCTTAGCTGTTCTATTAAATGTGTTAATTTTTCATGACAGAGGAGTTGGCATGGTTTGATGAAACAGAACCCAGCTTGAAACCCAAGTCTTTATGATCCCTGATTAATTGTTATTACATCACTCACTCCACTTTGCCTTCTGGAAAAGACAAGAGAAACAGGCAGTATACAATTCATTTATTCTTTTGTAACTTTCCCAGCTGATAAAGTTAAAATTAGTTTCATTAGTCATTGTAAACACATGCCCAATAAGTAGTGACATTAAGCTAAAGTCACTGATATATTTATTTTTTTAAATATACAGGCAGCATAGAGAGTCATTGCTATGTGGATAGTCAGTCGTTTAAAAGCAGTTGTCCTGCTAAATTTATTTTATCGGGAACATGATTAACCATGGAAAATTTGGTATGGAGGAAACTATGTCTAGGATCAAAAAGAAATTTTGTCATGAGAACAAAGTATTTTTGTATTGATATGAATTAAATAATACAAAATGCCAGCTTAAATGCTAAGTCGAATTTTAATGACAAAATGTCTGGAGTTAAAGGTTAAGCTAGTTTTCTTTAGTTGATGATCCCATTTCAGATTTAAACTTCTATTCTAATTTGTGCAGTGTTTTGCTGCAGTTATGCATCCTTAAATGTTGCTAAATTGTACTGTGGTATAGTAAAAGCATTTTTCAAATGAGAATTATGTTAGTAAATGTTGTTATCCTAATGTAATTTCACTAATTACTCAATAGTTTTTTCTTTTCGATATGAGAGATCAACCTTATGTAATATAATTTTTTCTTCATCGTTGATTTTTGAAAAAGAGTGACATATTTGTCAGACTTATATAACTTGTGCTTAAACTAAATTATATTGATATGACCAGGCAAAAAGGGTTCTTAAATGTCATGTGATCTCTATACTAAATGTAAAAATAATATATGTTTTAAAAGTTAATTATTTTTATGTGCTGTGTAGCTGAAATGTGTTCTGTCATTATTTTAAGGCAATGAAAAAAGTATTCTAACTTCTTTAAATCAGCCTGGGTTATTTTTAATCTGTAATGGACCCAAATATATAACATTTCTAAATCACACGCCACAGCTGCTTTTGGAAGAGATATCTTTATATGGAGGGATAAGATATTTTCCAGTGCTGCTAATCAACATGTCTAGTCATCTGTTAGTGTAGAGGCTTAAGTCGGTCAACGATGTAATGGAAAGTTCTATGACAACATTATTGTCGAATCAAAAACAAATCAAAAACAAATGTTATTTTTACTGCTTTTCTTTGGATCATACTTTACTTGTTTTAAAAACAGGAACCATTATTTTTAATTTTTTTAATTGCATGGTGGAGGGAGAAAAGCTGCTAGCTTTTACATAAAGTGAATTGGATCATTGTAAGTGTTGAGCTTCTTTTGTAGTCTAGTAGGTTTATGAATCAATCAATCATTATTCTAAATTATGTATTTTGAAAGTAGCATTTTAAAGCAGAAAATCAGCAATAACCGAATAATAATTGATGCTTTTTATTTATTACAGGTTACTTAGAAGGTTCCCATTACATCTCTCAAGAAGTAAATTGGATCTGAACATTCTTCTGTTTGATAATATGAAACAAAAGGAATAATGCATATGGATTTAAAAGTACTGTATTTATTAGGTAGTTATGGTTTGAGAAGCACTGGAAAAACAGCTCACTCTGTTACTCATCATAGATCTACTAAAAATTGTTTCTGATGCAGCTGAGAAAAATGCAGACCATTAAAAAGGAACAGGCACCTGTTGACACAAGTAGCAATGTGGACAAAATCATGGTACTTAATTCTGCTTTAGCAGAAGTGTCTGAAGACTTGGCTACAAATGAAGACATAATACTTAATGAAGGAAATAGTGGAAAAAACAAATCTTCATCATGTCGGAGAAAGCGGGAATTCATTCCAGATGAAAAGAAAGATGCTATGTATTGGGAAAAAAGACGAAAAAATAACGAAGCTGCGAAAAGATCTCGCGAAAAACGACGACTGAATGACCTTGTCTTAGAGAACAAACTAATTGCATTAGGAGAGGAGAATGCCACGTTAAAGGCTGAGCTGCTTTCATTGAAGCTAAAGTTCGGTTTAATTAGCTCTGCAGCATATGCCCAAGAGATACAGAAGCTCAGTAATTCAACAGCTGTGTATTTCCAGGACTATCAAACTTCCAAATCAAATATTAACTCATTTGTGGATGAACATGAACCATCTATGGTGGGTAGTAGTTGTATTTCTGTCATCAAACACTCTCCACAAAGCTCTTTATCTGATGTGTCTGAAGTATCCTCAGTAGAGCATATTCAAGCAAGTCCTATACAGAACAATTGCAGAAGTCCTGAAAATAAGTTTCAAGTTATAAAGCAGGAGCCTATGGAATTGGAGAACTATGCAAGAGAGTCAAGAGATGATAGAGGCTCCTATGCAGCATCCATGTTTCCAAACTACATAGTAAATACCTTTAATGGGTACTCACATTCCCCTCCTCTGCTGCAAGTTAATAGGTCCTCCAGTAATTCTCCAAGAACTTCAGAAGCTGATGATGTGGTCATAGGAAAGTCATCTGATGGAGAAGATGAGCAGCAGGTCCCTAAAGGTCCAATTCATTCCCCAGTTGAACTTAAAAATGTTCACGCAACAGTTAAAGTTCCAGAGGTGAACTCTTCTGCACTGCCTCACAAGCTTCGAATTAAGGCTAAAGCCATGCAAGTCAAAGTGGAAGCAATGGATAATGACTATGATGCCACACAGAAACTATCATCACCAGTTGACATGACATCTAAAAGACATTTCGAGATTGAAAAGCACAATGCACAAACATTGGTACATTCTTCTCACACTCCTTTCTCTGTTCAAGTGACTAATATCCAAGACTGGTCTCTCAAACCAGAACATTGGCACCCAAAGGAACTCAATGTAAAAATTCAGAGTGGTTGCAAAACTGGAGTTGTTGAAATTAAAGACAATGTCTACAAAGTATCTGAGTCAGAGAACTTGTATTTGAAGCAGGGCATAGCAAACTTATCTGCAGAGGTTGCTTCACTTAAAAGACTTATAACTACACAACAAATCTCTGCTTCAGACTCTGGTTAAGTTACTACTGAATAAAGGCTTATTGTTTTAAAGGATGTCATTTGCAGTAGATCAATATGTTTTGTATTATGCTGAATTTTCACTGGACTTGTGATGTCATTTCACTGTAATGTTCATATAATGTCTGATTGATGGTGTCTTTTTGTGCACAAATTATTATGAAGACTAGGTTGTGTTATGATCACTATGCCTTGTGTATAGTCAAGTAGCCTGTATGGGGGCTGTATATAGTGAACCTTTTCTTTTTCTTGTTGTTGTTGTTCTATTATAAAGTGTGCAAGTTACCAGTTACAATAAAATATTGGTGACAAACACAGAACATCTACTGCAGGTCAATTGATTTCTATAAACATGTAAATATTTTGTTAATTATCAAATAAGAAGTCTTCCAAAATGTATTTCAGTTCACCCATATACTTGAGGTTTACAGCCTAAATAAACCAAATTGAAATTTATGACATACACGCTTGGAAAAAAATCCTCGGTCACATTTTTTTCTTACGGACCTTTTATAAGAGAATAGAAACTGGCTTGATGTATTAAAAGAGATGTAAATATGAAGATCAAGCTTTCTTACCTTATTTATTACAGTAGATATACCAAAATAATAATATTAAGGAAATTTTTCTATTATTGTCTCAAATGAAAGAATATCTGGCTTTCAGTGCAGCTTATTGAGACAGATACTGAGACATTTATCTTGTATAGCTTGATTCTCCATATAAAATTAAGATTGTGGATCTTTGTAATTTGCAGAATCATGAAGCTGGAGTAATAGGTAAATCCTGCTGCAGCCCCTCTGCCCTTAATCAGTGTTCCAGGCCTGAAATACAGTGGATCTGCATAATTTCCACTGTGTAGGTGTGGGGTAGGCTATCTACAGACAGGCCATGCAAAAGGACTGCATCTCCTGGGTGTAGTAGTTCTCTCCATAGCAATATGGTGGAGAATTGTGGCTTGGCTAGGGACATCCGCAGGTTAAAAACCCTTACAAAGCAGACTATGGTATCACCAGTGAAGTTGCAGGGTCCCAGCTGACACCTGGGTTCACATACCAAGGCCCAGAACAGTTATAGGAATGAAATAAGGTTTATAGGAAATCCCCAGAATGATTAGTTCTAGATCTGGATGAAAAACGGGGGGGGGGAGGGGGAAAGTTCTAAAACAAATGTAATTTCCATTTTTTGTCAAAAAACATTCTGTTGAAATTTTCTCATCTGCTTTAGTGAGCTGACAACAAATGTCCCTGGATGTTGCATCAAGAGTTTTAAGTGTAAAGAAGACAAAATACAGAGACTCAAATCTTCTGTGCAGTTCAGCTCCCCTTGATCTTTGCACAGGCAACAAGTGTTTCACACTGTGTTTGGCTGGGCTAGAGTCAGTATTTTTTCTCTTTGTGAGGAGCCATTAGGGCATAAAGACTTCCTGCTAAATCATACTCCTATCACTTTGGCTGGGCAAATTCTCACATTTTAAAATATTAAATCGTTTTTAAAATAGTATCTGTGTTTGGCAGGGTTCTTTTTCTAGACAATTTGCCATCATTTAAAAAAAAATATTAATAAACACCTTACTGTTTCCTGGAGAAAATCACGATTAATTGCCATGATCCATAGTGAGCCCTACTTTGTCAGCATTGATTTTAAAAAACTGGAGTCAGTGATATTAATTTCATACTTCACTAAGAATGATAGGCAGATTTAAATTAGTTGGAGGTGAGGGGAATGTTGGGTGAAGAGGAACATCTGAAGCAACTTTCTATAACTGTGGAACATGGGTGAAATCCTGTGCCCACTAAAGTCAATGGCAAAACTCCCACTGACTTCAGTGGAGCCAGGATTTCACACCTTGTCTTTTCTGTGGCTGATGAACCATGGTTGTGTTCTATGTGTGGGCCTTGTCATAGAAGCAACTGGTGATTTTCCACATTTCTTTGCATTCACAAAGCCCGTTAATTGCTGAACTGCAACCATAGTGTTCAGAGCTGCTAACAGAAGTATACCATTCTCTTAAATCACCCATTGCTCTTATTTAATGTCCTAATAATGCAGTAGACCCTATAGTTAGGATTTGTGTACATTTGGCAAGTAATAGAAGGAACACACTTGAACATTTCTGAAAATGAGTCCAGAATTATCACATAAAACTAAGGGAACTGCAAGTGAATGAGTAGGATTGGAAACACTAGAAGATGATTGCTACTAGCTGTTTGCTTGAAAAACATCTGTAAGAAACCACAGAATTCTTTAAATATTTTAGATATTATTTATCTCCTTGTGTAATAAAATGTGTTCAATGGGATGATTTAAAACGATGAGTAATGACATCTGTGTAAGCTGACCTACATCTTTAGCTGTTCCTCTGTTTGGTTATTTTAGCTCTTGTTACTTATAGTTGTCTGTTGTAATGGATAAATACTGCCCTCCTTTCTAGATGGTTATATTTTTACACTATTTTGTATGTTTCTATTTTGTGCAACTACTGTTTGATAGCAATGATTGTTGGGGAGTCTCACTGGAAATCAGCCATAGCACCCGGCTTAGAAACAGGATCTTGTGTTATATGTATTCTCCCATGCATCTTAGCTTTTTGCTTCCTTTAAAAGAAATAATAATTTGTTTGCTAAAATCACTATAAATATTAGTGCATTATATGAGCCTGGTCTATAGGCGTTATCTCATCAGCTCTGAAGGTGATGACAGATTTTTTTTTTCATGTGAGTAATGTAGTGCATCTCACATAAAATTACATTATAAGAGGCAGGGAGGAGATTGCACATACAGAGCCAGGTTCTCAACCGTAATTCTGTCCCTTTTGCACCAGAATCTGGCCAAAACTGGCCTGCTGAGAACTCTCAACTGATATAAAGCATAGCTGACTTCTACACCAACTTCCCTCCCCGCACAGGAGCATGTCAGGGGAAGGAAGAGGTTAACTTGGACAGGAGAAGAGCGGAGTGTAACTCCAGTCCCATACAGCAATTTGCAGCTGACATATGGTCCCTGACAGCCCTAATCCCCCCACATCCCCTTTCTTGCGCTGAGTGTTTCCTGGCAGAGGAGAAAATCTGACCTACATTAAAAGAGTTGCAATGGCTGGTCCATTAATCCCCATGTTGGGGTTTGTTTGTGCATAAACACACTTCAACTAAAGCAGTGCAAATCCTTGTATGGACACTCTTATTTCAGTTTGAGTGGCTTATTTGGGTTTGGCTTAAGTTCCAAATCAACTTAAACTAAACTGAATAAGCTTGGTTTAAATGGAAATAAGAGTGTCCCACGCAGTCTTTTGCACTGGTTTAACTATATCAACTTAAAATCACGCCATTAGTTGAAACAGTGCAATCCTGTAAGTAGACAAGCCCTGAGTTTGGTTTTGAGCTTGGTCTTACACTCATGACAGAGTAAGAAGGGTGGGGAAGGGATAGTGTTCTCTAGTGACCTCTGTGATCAACTCAAAGAGCAATATTAATGTATACTGAAGATGGATCCCTGCTCAGATAAAGGGAAAGAAGGTCACTTTGAGGACAGGGTTTGTTAAGGACTAAATGGATTGTTCAAATGTGCAGATACTTCTTTCCAAAAACTGACTCATTTAAAAAAACAAGAATGAATATAGCTGTCCATGGCCAACTTTCATTTCTAGGCAAATAGCTCAGCCAGGTAATATTAGAAATTTGTGTAGCAATACACGGCAATTACAGTTTTGTATCCTAAGGTCCTGACAACAATGGAAGTTAAGCTTTTGAGTCACAACTGAACATGACCACTGAAAAAATAGGATTCATTGATGTACAGTGGTATTTGAAATTCATAAGTGGAAATATACACAGTTGCAGTAATAATGAGTAAAACAGGACATAAACAGAAAACAAACTACAGTATAAATATACAGACCTACTGAAACCTCTTATTGAGGGGTGTGGTCATGTGAAGACTTACACTGTTAGTCTATCAGGATATACTGCGTGACATAAAAAGAAAGATAAGGGTTTTTGTATGGCCAAGAGAAATCTTTAAAAAAAAAAAGGTAGGATAATTGAGGGTTTATGTGGGGGAGGAGAGGATGCTAAGTTTGGAAACAGAACACAGCATGTGTGCTCTTATACACTATCAAATCCAGTGGAAAATATTTGCATCCTAGAAGCTGCAAATCCTTATTTTGGTTGAATTGACATAAACTGATATAGAGTAAACATGTCGTTTCTTTTATTAGTTCTAAACTTGTTGCCTTTCAGTGTAATTGAACATCCCCTTGTTCTTGAATTAAAGGGGAATGCCTGATGTATCTTCTCTATACCATTTATTATTTTAAGTCTGTATCATGTGCCCTCTTACTTGTCTTCTGTGAAAATAAGTGAGTCCACAGGTGTTGTTCTTAAAAACACAGCATGCATCTTCCATTGAACTTATCCTGAATATAAACTTACAATTGTACCTTAGCTTTATAAGGTATTTTTCCTAGTGACCATTGCTGAAAGTGCATTCAAATTCAAAATGCTACAAATCATTTCTACTTGCTGATAAGTGAATATGCCTTTGAAAACAGGAAACACCCAATGAACTGAGTAGAACATCTACAGAGAACCCTGTTAAAGTATGGCTTTTATTAACACCATATTGTTTTAAAAATACGTTTACAGTTTATTGCACAACATAAACTTGGTAACCACATGAATACAACAAAACAACTTTCAGGATGAATTGCAAAAGAGTAAATAACACGTGTTCCAGTACAGAATGCCAAGTCCAAAGATAAAAATACTAGGCCAAACCCTGGGTTCCTTACTCAGTGCCAGATTCTGCTATCCTTACTCAATGGAACTATTCATGTGTGGAATAAGCAATTTTATCGTTCTGAATAAGATTAGCAGAATCTGGTCCTCATTGTTGACTCATTCCTTACTCAGGCAAACTCCCATAGATCCTCAGAAACGCTAGAGCTAAGTCTCCTCTGATACCAAAATTACAACAGAGTAACTAAATTGATTTCACTAGAGCTACACATCATTTACAATCATGTAAGTGAGAGGAGAAGCAGGCTTGCTATTATTATTTCTTCACTGGAAGCTGTAAAAGGACTGAGTAAAACATGAGCTATAGCTCAGAGTACAAGGTCGTGTGGAGCCACCTTTCCTCCATGCCAAGGAAAGAGATATTTTTGTCTTTGAGCTCCAAGGTATGGAATACCTGCAGATATTTTTGTCTTTGAGCTCCAAGGTGTGGAATACCTCCAGAGGGTAAGACTCAGATCCAAGGCTTTCCAGTTTTGCTACTACATCATTTATGATTCAGCCAGCTGCCAACCTGCATGCCGGTCTCACACCACACACTAGTATGAAAGGATGGTACTGCCTCCTCCTCACCACTCCCCTTGGGGCACTATGCACCTCCATGAGAGTACAGATGGAGAAATCTGTGTGATGCTCTGCACACAATTCTGCCAGGATTTTATATAGGTCATG